GTGAAGAATAACACACAAACAGCACACAGATACACTGTATAGTAAAATGTAGGTTTTTACTTCCAATAAACGTTTAAGCAAAGTCCAAACAAGCAGTCCAAGTCATTCACAGTTAAAGCAGTCAGTTTTCAGTCCAGGGATAATCCAAATATCAAAGTCCAGTATCAAAAATAGTTCAGTAACAGACTTACATCAAACCCAAGAAGAACTATGATCAGTAACAGTCAATAAGGAACAGCAACACTCTCAGCAACAGGACAGGAACTAAACAACCCAGGTTTCTGGCTCTATCTTATGGCCATTTGAGGAACCACACCCAATTACAATTTTAGCATTCCCTTAAAGAGACAGTATTAAAATGTCTATCCTGGTTTATATATTTTCCAACCCAACTATTACGTGACTTACATGCCTAACATTATGACCACAGGTATGGCCTGCTATGGCCGTAATTTTGGTACAGGTCATGAATACCTTCATTCAGTGCCATAGAAATCTTGGTCACTGAACAAATGGTCATCAAGCAAAGACTACTTTTATAAAAATATCATGTGAATACTGGATGCCAGATGCAAAAGGACAAATTTTTCAGCTCTTGCTGGAAATTTGTTTTTGAGCAGTAAAGGTAAAGGTTCCCTTTGCACATACGTCATTTCCGGCTCTAGGAGGCAATGCTCCTCTCCATTACAAAGCCAAAAAGCCAGTGCTATCCAAAGACGTCTCCATGGTTATGTGACCAGAATGATTAAATGCCAAAGGTGCACGGAACGCTGTTACCTTCCCACCAAAGTGGTCCCTATTTTTCTACTTTCATTTTTACATGCTTTTGAACTGCTAGGTTGGCAGAAGCTGGGACAAATAACAGGAGCTCACTCTGTTATGCGATGCTAGGGATTCGAACCGCCAAACTGCCGACCTTTCTGATAGACAAGTTCAGCATCTGAGCCACTGTGTCTCCCTTTTGAGCAGTAGATCTCCTTATTTTAGACCAGCAAGTTGTCTACATTGGATATAGTTATTATCTATTCCCAAATTTAGGAAAGCATTAATCAAAGTTGATTTTAAGGAACTGTTGATAACTGATAGAAAGTTAAGGAAAATTCACTATTCTTCCAGACTTCATCCTTGTGGTAATCTGGTGATGGAAAAATAACTTGTGTCTTTCTTTGGTACAGATAAAAATCAATGACCCTTTGAACACAATATAATAAGATGCACATCTATCATAAACAAGTCAAAACACAGGCTTAAAATTTAAATTTGTTTCCATTTCAAGCAAGTTGTTGACTTTTTGCAGATATTATGTATATCTGCAAATATCACTTTTTAAAAGAAAATAGTATATTTATTGGTTTATAAATCTCTGTTTAATTCTGTAAGCCTTCTTTTAAAGTAGTCTTATGAGAATAAGTGTAAAAGAACATTAAAAAATAAAAATAATTTGAAACTCTATTCTGCTCACTCCTACTTCATTGTAAATGTCAACAAATATAAAGAGTTTTTATACACACTAAAACATAATATTGTTTCATTTAGTTGGTACCTGTATTGCTCTTTTAAAAGATAACATAAATGGATTGGTCCTTGCTGTAAAGGCTGCACTGGGCTGTGATAATTATTTGGCCATTTGGCCATTGTTGTAGATGCTTTTACTATTTCTCTGTTTCTCTTCTATCATTTTTTTTTTCAAATCAGCTATAGAAATTGTGGCAGATTTCCATAGTTTTGCTTTTCAGAAAAAAAATTGAAAGCAATATTGATAAAGTAGGGCTTCCTATAAAATTTAAATTATCTGTGTTATATCTGTTATAAATATTTGCTTAAAAGCAGCTTAGAAACCAGTTGGCCATGCTCTTCACTCAAAGATGCAAAGATGACCGAGTTCATCGTTATTGAATAGAAGTCTAATAACAAAGGAATGTGGGCTTCAGATTGGAGATTAAACAAACCTTTTGCTTAGAGTTGATCTGATTTGGTTGTTGATTTTAATTTAATTGGCTTAGATACTAATTTGGTTTAAGGCACATGGTTTTTAATACTGATGCTGTTAATACTAATTAGCTGACAAGTATTGTGCTAAAGGGCATTTCGTTCAAGATGCAGTAATTTTCAACTGGTCTGAGGTAGTATTGAAATAATGACCTCTTAAGTGTGGGAAGAAGGGAGGAAGGAAGAATGAAAACAGAACCATAGTTATTTATTCTATGGCTATGAATGAAGGCAAATATAACCCAAGATAATGTTGAATACACACATTCTGGTAGAGAGAAGTTTCCTGAGGGTGGGCTCCAGTATGTCTGAAAGCTCAGAAAACTAAAACTCTGGTCCCGGTGACTGACCCAGATTGGATCCTGCAATTTATGGCTACAAAGAATTAATTTGAACTCATTGACCCAGGTAACAGCTTCTGAGCCATATTTGTCTTTCTGATTTGGTCTGCAATAGATTTGTTCTATTGCAGATCACATACAGTGATCTATGATTTAAAAAGGTAAAGATTCCCCTCACACATACGTGCTAGTCGTTTCCAGCTCTAGGAAATGGTGCTCATCTCCATTACAAAGCTGAAGAGCCAGCGCTGTCCGAAGACATCTCCATGGTCATGTGGCATGACTAAATGCCAAAGGCACATGGAACGCTGTTACCTTCCCACCAAAGTGGTCCCTATTTTTCTACTTGCATTTTTTTACATGCTTTCGAACTGCTAGATTGGCAGAAGCTGGGACAAGTAATGGGAGCTCACTCTGTTACGTGGTGCTAGGGATTTGAACCGCCAAACTGCTGACCTTTCTGATCGACTGAGCCACCTCGTCCCTTCTGATTTATGACTTACCACCTTGTTATTTGTATGTACACCGAGAGCTTATACACCGAGAGCTTATACACCGAGAGCTTATGTACCGGAGGCAAATTCCTTGTGTGTCCAATCACACTTGGCCAATAAAGAATATTGCTATTCCTATCCTAGTTCAGAGAAGATTATTTCTGTTCCATCCAGAAAATTAGAATTTTCACAGAAAATAAATGCTTATGGATAACATCTTTCTGTGCAACACATTTTAACAAAATAATTGTAATAGGCAAGAATTACTTTCCTTTCTTAATTCGTTTTTCTCTCATTATTAAACAACAATTTTAACAGTGATATTAACTTGATAAATTTGTATTCATTACATTCCAGCTTTTCCTAGTCTAAAAAATCATTGGAGCTGATTCCCTCTTTTGCTTTATTTTACCGGAATAACTCGATGATGAAATGGATTGCCCTGTTCTGTATTAAGTTCTTCCTTTCTGTTTTCAGAAAGTTCTCTAGTTGTGAAATTTCAGCCTGCTGTGTTGTGAGCATGACCAAAGCAGATGAAAAGCAAGGAAAAGATTTCCTATTCCCAAAGATGATTTCCTAAGCAAATAAACTGTCATTGTTGAAACATATACAAAACATAATTCTTTCTTATGCAGAAAAGGTTTGAATGGTGTTCCAGTTTTTACCAGGCATGTAATACACTTTTATGCCTGACAGTTACAACATGCTCCAGGGTTCTTGTTTGAGAAACAGCTGCAAAAAACATAGCAATATGAGTAGTTCCTCTTTAAATGAGAATGAAATGAAGTTAAGATAGCTTTTCCAATTTGATGATTTCGAAGTCGTGATGCATTGTTGTTGATGTGATATCCCAATGGTAATTCCAGAAAATTACATTTTTTCAAATACAGTCCCAGTCTTGCTAGCAAAGAATGCTTGCATCCAGATTGACCATCTTTCAAATTGAATCTGTAATATGAATTACAATATGATGCATTCTCTCTCATTCATTATATCATTTTCATACCACAGAATTGCAGTCTCACATTCACGCAGCTGCAGCCCTTGAAATCAGCTGGCTGAAATTTCTTTTTGAAATCTGCTTGTTGAGAGTTTTTGTGAAAGTTTTAAGTGTTCCTTCAGGTTGTTCGATTAAAAAGATTTCAGAAGCTTTCTTAAGGCAAGGGAATTTCTCTATTGCTAGCCTCTGTACCACGCACACAGATTGAGAGAGTTTACTTAATGATTGGGTATCTCTAGTTTAATGAAAAGAAGGACTTGGGATGACATGATAGCAGTGTTCCAATATCTAAGGGCTGGCCACAAAGAAGAGAGGGAGTCAATCTATTCTCCAAAGCACCTGAAGGCAGGACAAAAACTAGTGGATAGAAACTAATCAAGGAGAGAAGCAACTTAGAACTCAGGAGAAATTTCCCGACAGTTAGAACAATTAATCAGTGGAACAACTTGCCTCCAGAAGTTGCTCTAACATAGGAAGTTTTTAAGAAGAGATTGGAGAGCCATTTGTGTGAAATGGTATAGGGTTTCCTGCCTGAGCAGGGGGGTGGATTAGAAGACCTCCAAGGTCCCTTCCAACTCTGTTATTCTGTTCTATTCCAATGATGTGCTTAAAATCTCAGACTACTCTTCCTGAATTATGTTACTGAACAAATGAATAAATATGTATGTATGTATGTATGTATGTATGTATGTATGTATGTATGTATGTATGTCACTCTAGACACAAGCATGTTTCCTCTGTTTATTAATTCTTTCCAATCAAATTAATCATTTCAAATATAAGCACCCAGAATGATTCTGGAGTCTGGCAGCCTCTAACTGAATAACTTTTTCATCAATTACAATTCAATAAGTATCTTTTTTAAACATGTGGCTATTGATCTTGGTTTAAATTTACTTACTCTTAGATTATCCTGAGTATTCTATTAGCTAAAGGGAGTATGAATACCAATGAAGGTATTGATGAAGAGCCAATTCCACATTTAACTGTGAAACTTACTTTTCTGACTTTTTGTCTATTATTTTCTGTTAGCCCACAGGGTTTTTATTGTCAAGATAAAATGAAAGATGATTGTCAGGAAAAGAGGTAGCAAATAAATTCAGGGGATTAAGTCAGTAAGCAAAAGAAGATACTGATTAATGTGGTTTGTTTTATGATTCCTTTGTGTCTTAACAGATGAGAATAGGGATTCACTCAGGATCTGTTTTGGCTGGAGTTGTTGGGGTGAGAATGCCCAGATATTGTCTCTTTGGCAACAATGTCACCCTAGCAAGCAAGTTTGAGTCAGGAAGTCATCCACGTCGCATCAACGTCAGCCCAACGACCTACCAGTAAGTGTTATTTAGCATTTTTTTTATATTTCTTAAAGCTTCGATACACACCATTTCTGCCATAAAACAAAATGTTATATCCTCCCCAAAGTGCCATTCATTTTCAATAGAAAGTAAATCAAAGGACATAAGACAATTTGTATCCAAGTAAGATTTTAACTAGAAAGAGAATATACTATCTATCTGTCTGTCTTCTGTCAATCAATCAATATCTGTAAGAATTTGAGACATACCCAATTAGGACCTGGTTTCAGAATATTTATTTATTTATTTGTTTGTTTGCTTGTTTGTTTGTTTATTAGATTTGTATTGCTGCCTATTTATCATGGGGACTCAAGGCGGCTTACAACATATAAAACCACAATTTAAAACAATAAAACTTGCAAAATCAAATAAATTAATATAGTAAACCATTATAGAATTTAGAATTAGAATTTACCTTTATTGTCATTGCATTCCACAAATACAATGAAATTTGAAAGCTACTCCAGCACAGTGCCCCAAACACCACATCACAATCACACTACAAGTATTTAAAAATTAAAATAATAATAATAATAATAATAATAATTAAAAACCTAGTCTAAAACCTATCTAAAAATGTAGTAAGTTAAATAGTTTAAAATGCCACTATATACATAGGACTAGATCACAAATGTGCTGTTTGATTCAAGACAATTATTGCCTTGAAAAAGAAACTGATTCTCAGTCTATTGGTCCTCATTTTAAGACACCTATAACGTCTCCCTGATGGTAACAGTTCAAAATACAGTATGAATGACCAGGATGAGAACGGTCGGTGGAGATTTTTAGTGCTCTAGAGAGGAGTCTGGTCTTCGCAATCTTTTCCAAAGAAGAAAGAGAGCAACCGATGATTTTTTGTGCTGTGTTTATAACTCTCTGGAGCATCTTCTTATCCACTACAGAGCATCCAGCATACCACACCGTTACACAGTATGCCAAAATGCTCTCGATGGTAGAACAGTAAAAAGTAACCAGCAACTTCTCATCCAGGCCACTCTTTTTCAGCAGCCTCAGAAAGTGCAGGCACTGTTGGGCCTTCTTTGCAGTGGCCATAGTGTGGACCAACCAAGTAAGTTTGTCGGAAATATGAGTTCCTAGAAATTTAAAACTATGAACTCTTTCCACACAGTCTCCATTGATACATAGTGTGGGAGAGGCTCTGCTTTGCATCGTCTGAAGTCTATAATGAATTCTTTAGTCTTTTTTATGTTCAGGGTGAGGTTATGACTCTTGCACCACAAGACCAGTCTGAGAACCTCTGACCTATAGGCCGTCTAGTCTCCTCCTGATATGAGTCCCACCAGTGGTCTGCAAATTTTATTATAGAGTTAGTGGGACAAGAGGGAGTGCAGTCATATGTGTAGAGTGAATACAAAAGGGTGTGGAGAGCCAGTGCTGAGAGCAAGAATGGAGGAAAAATAGCTGCCAATCCAAACAGTTTGGGGTCTGTTAGTAAGAAAGTCCCTTATCAAACAGCAGACGTGAGAGGAGAGGTCCATTTCCAGCAACTTCTTAATCAGTATATCTGGAATGATGGTATTAAAGGCCGAGCTGTAATCAGTGAAAAGCATCCTTTCATTATGCTCCAGATGGTCCAGTGCAACATGGAGAGCCATGGCAATAGCATCCTCTGTGGATCTGTTATTCCGATAAGCAAACTAGTATGGGTCAAGGTTTGATGGGAGGCAACCCTGTATTTTAAGACCAGTCTCTCAAAACACTTCATGATTATGGGTGTGAGAGCTACTGGTCTATAATCATTTAAAGTATATATAAAGTTATATATTCAGCAAGAATTATTGGAAGTTGTGCTTTCTTAACTTTCCCCATGTTTTTAGTTGAGTGTTTTAGCGCAGGGGTCTTCAAACTTGACAGCTTTAAGACTTGTGGACTTCAACTCTCAGAATTTCTCCTCCAGTCTTGTTAGCGCAGGAATTCTGGAAGTTGAAGTCCACAAGTCTTAAACTTGCCAAGTTTGAAGACCCTTGCTTTAGCGCATGGGTGTCAAACTCTCCATGTCACCTTGCCATCACGTGACATATCACAATGTTTTTCCCTTCATGGAGCTGGAGTGGGTGTAGCCTGTGTGTTACGCATCCGGCCCATGGGCCGCTTATTTGACACCCCTGCTAGCATAAGAACTTATAAGTATAATTATCTTCCTTTGATGTGACCCAAGCAGCAAATATTCCATATGGAAATCCCTTAATTTGGAGTAAGGTCAGGGTAACTGAACGGATCTCAGTGTTTACTGGCCAGATGCCCTTCCTAACACCACTCAGAGTTTGCAACAGATATTCATTTTTTTGTACCCTAAGAGAGAAACATCTGCCACTACTTAGGATTGAACTCTCAACCTTCTAAGTGGGAGATGTGTGTCTTCACCACTAGGACACCACACCACTCAGCAAATATTCAATATACAGGTCACAAAAATCCATCACAAGCACTTTCAAAATTTCTTCCTTTCCGATACTCTGATTATTCCAAGGTTGCCTTTATTAGTATTTTTGCAAAATACCAATCAAGGCCATTATAGTCATCTCTTTCAATAGTGCTTTGACTGTGCCCTGTCAGATTAGACTCAATAAAATATGGCATGAAACAATTGAGAAATTGTGTAAGCAGCCCCTAAGGAAAATATTATTGTGAGAGGCACATCATTTGAGTTAGATGTGTCCCCAATGTTTTAATAATTTTCAAAGGCACGTTCAGAGTGATCTGGATTTCTGAACCTGTCCTACGCATATGATTCATTCTGACTAATTTAACTGTTTTGGAGTTAGCCTTTATGAACTTTGTAGTTAGAAAATTTCTTTACTGCTGAAGAAAGGGGTTTTGTAGTTTTCTTCCTGTGGTTTCAGCATTGTTTGCCTGTTTGTATGCTTTCCCTTTTTTTAATAATCTCACGAGTCTCTGTGTTTGTGTTTGGGTAAACTTCTATGTGAATGAAAGCTTATGTAACTGTCTTCACACAGGATGTTCAGGGACTGATACAATAGAATATAAAATAGCTAGAGATTTTAAGTTTTAAAAGCAATTAAAACTATTGCTCAAAATGAAGATTATTCACTATAGATAAAAAAAAATCAGATAACTACAGAGCCAGTTTGTATGCTTCAATCAGGGGCAGGCATGTTGAGCCGATTTTGATGGATGGATAATGGATGAAGAGAGGCAAAGCAGGAATAAGGGAATACAAAGCAATTTGGGAAGCAATTGCCATAAAATAAATTCTTTTGTCCCGATCGTCCTAGTAACAAACAGTTATTAAAATTTCAGAGATTAGGTATTTGAAATCAGGGTCCAATTTCCCTCTGCAATTCTGTCAGATTGTTTTGGTCTGATTTTTAATTCTTTTCTTGCAATGCTGAAACTCGTCGTATGAATAGATACTCTGCAGCAGGTCCCCATAAATTAAAATCTGATTTATACCTTGGAATGTGAATTTTGCACAATCAAGATAATCATTTGTGCTATTTATTGCAAAGCCACACAAGATCTTTTGATTGAATTGCAGGGGCCAAATCTTCAGTGATAGGTATATATGCTGTATATTCTGCTACCAAGCTACAGTCCCTGTTTCTGAAGCTCCCCATCTTACTCCAGCAATAGATCAGGACGAGGCTGAGAAAAGCAAGTCAACAACTAAGCAAGCAAGCCCAGCACCCAACAAATTGTGCTCAGATGTTTTGTTCTAAAATCCATTACTTCTGCCTCATATGCCATCTGGCTTGTTCTCTTTTACACACTGAAAAACTAGATGTTTGAACAAATTGTGCTTTGGACTCCGTTCTACAGCTGTTTTTGTGAAATCAGTGAAAATCTAACTACCGACTGTAACTCAACTGAAGGAGTAGTTCACATTCTCCTCCAGTGTTTCTCAACCTCAGGAACTTTAAGTTGTGTGGACTTCATCTCCCAGAATTCACCAGCCACCTTAAAGTTCCTGAAGTTGAGAAACATTTTTCTATATTAGGAAGGAATTGAGCTGTACTCAAAGAAGGCTCCTTTCCACGTAATCAGATCGATAAATTGATTCTGTTCCTTTAAAGTTTAAAATGATAGTTTAATTTTTAGTGTTTTAAAATATTTAAATTGTTATTGTCTGAGATAATACAGTATTACAATTTCTCTGCAAAGAACACCTGTCATTGTCGTTCAAATTTGAAAGTTGATAAACGAATGTAACTTGTGCATTAAATTTGGCATTCTCTCCCAAAGAAGCAACAGTTTGGATCATAATACTCTTTTTTTCCACATTTCCCCTAAAAACCCCAATGTTCTGATTATTCTCCATCTTAATCTAAAATTTTCCAACCTCAAGGTTGCCACCCTTTGCATGAACTTTGCTTGAGCACCCTTCTATGCATGAAAAGAATCAGTTGTTTCTCCTTCCGGTCCAACGTCACTTGACTCACCTCTAGTATAAATTCAGAGTTACTTCTGCAAAACGTTGAAATTTCAAGATCAGCAGGCTATGTCTCAGTGCGAACTCTTCATGCTCACATACTGTTCCTGTGTGCCAGTATAAACAGTCCTTCCTGAAATTCCTTCTGGAATGAGAATCTCACAAATTTGCTATCCTTTGCTGAAACAGAAAATACTGTTCCAATTATGACAACGTACTAAATCCAATGCACAAATTGCTTGTTCAGTATATTATAGCAATAGCAGTTAGACATATACTGCTTCATAGTGCTTTACATTCCTCTCTAAGCAGTTTACAGAGTTAGCATATTGCTCCCAATAATCTGGGTCCTCGTTTTACTGGCCTTGGAAGGATGGAAGGCTGGGTCAACCTTGAGCCGGTTAGGATCAAACTCCTGGAGTGAGCAGTGAGTTAGCATATATTATACATTATAAAATGTATGCCCCAAATGAATTTCAAAGCAAAACAAAAACCAGCAGCAGCAGTTACAGGTCTGCTTTCAAATGGTTGTTTCCTTGGATTATAGCAATAGCAACAGCACTTA